CCCCAAAACCCCAAAACCCCAAAACCCCAAAACCCCAAAACCCCAAAACCCCAATCCTTGAAACAATTATTGAAATATAATTAATGAGTGGATTGTCAACCGAGCAAAAGTTTAGACATTTCATGAAGACAGGGACGGATGATCCATACATGACTTTTTATCCTAAGGACAAACAAACCAATCCTAGAAGGCCAAAGCAGAACCATCGAAATCATAGAAAAAATTTGATGCAGGAAGATAATCCAGGTTGAGACCCGGTACCTGTGCATCCAAGGTAAAAATAAACTTAATTGCTCTTGTTAAGGATCATCCACCAGAAAATATGACCAAGTTTAGGACTATCAGGATTAGGAACAAGACAACTGAGTATACTAACAGGCAAATTGCAAGGGTAAGCTACTCTTGATTCCTTTAATCTTTGGTGGTTTTTATACACTATATCTGTTACTATTTTCTAATATCATTTCTCGGGAATAGGATCCAAAGGAAATACACCACCAATCACAGATGTTGAACAGTCGTCAAGATCATCAAGCTATTAAATATTATAATACTGAGAGGAAAGAATTAAGCAATCTGAGTAAAATTTTAAAGAAACCAAGAGCTAGCTATAACGATTTCAAGATATTCGAAGATCAGGAACTCAAGGCTCCTCCTGTTAAAATTCGTTCACAACTGAAAAGACTTATGAAATTTAAGCTTAAGGAGCAGAAAAAGTCTAGAGAGACTAATAATCTTGGCATAAATGAACCTATAATAAATAGGAGCAATACAACTGCTTTAGTAGTTCTTTCTAATAGAAGCATGATTAAGTATCCAAGGATAAGCAAAAGAGGCTCAAAAGAGTCGTTTCAGATCTACCGTAACATCTCTGACAATAAATTGAGCTTTAAGAAGATGCACAAGAGAAGCGCTTCTCATTCAGGAAATCTTACACTTTTAGACCCAAGGGCTAAAAGTTTTTCTCTAAGTAAGAGGAACCATAACCCAAAAGGTATTGTTAATATCTCTTCTTTTTATCACAGAGGGCCTGAGAAGCAATTCAAAATGCGCTTATTAGCTCAGAAGTTGAACACTTGGATAAGAGTGAAGAATAATTCTTAACTCTTATCAATTATCTTGATAAAATAAGATTAAGAATTTCAAATTTATATCTCTAATAGGGGTTTTGGGGTTTTGGGGTTTTGGGGTTTTGGGG